TCTCGCGGGCCATTCTATCGGTCCTCGTCTGCCGATCCACCTCCTAGGAAAACAATTGTCCAGAAAATCTCGAACAGGGCGCGCATAGTGCGGAGGTTCACCGTCTTGCTGAAAACATATGGTGCCATCAGGAATATCAGGGTCATTATCCTTAGGAAAAATTACTGCAAGCGCTGGAACAAGGTCATTTTGTAAAAACTCTAAATAAAATATCTTTCTCCTGTAAGGGTTCCTTCAAAGAAGAAAGGCCCTACTATTCTGTTGTCAACTATCCAGCCCACACATTTAATTTCTGTGGGTATTGGGTATGTGTCTCTGCCATCCAATGAGGATTTTTCCGACTCTAATACCTGCAAGTTTGAAGGTTCACTGTACCATTGAGACAAAACGTGGCCTCGTCTGAAAAAAGTATTTGCCAGTGTAAATCTCTATTTACTTGACATAAATCCATCATAATTTCACAAAAGTGTAAGCGGCGGTCGGGATCGTCTTCATTGAGTTCCTGCAAAAGTTGAATTTTGTAGGGATGATATTTTTCCTGCCTCGGGACACGTAGCACTGTGGTCTGACTAATTTCATTGTTTAATGCAACCAATCGTGAAATATTATGAGGATTATCTACCATACTTATCTAAATTTAGATTATATCTTACTGACTGTTGATTGGCTGATACGGCGATATGGATGTTTTTAATTAAATAAATCGCAAACTTCCTGCTGCGTTCTAGTCTTATCCCCGCATCCGATAAGAAATAAAATTTCAATTCTTTGTGTGACAGTTAATACTATAAATTCAGCAATAATTGTTATATCGCTTACAATACTTAGAAAGTCGGTATGACAGTGACACTTTGTAAAGATTTACACCTACGTGATCCATAAAAAACTTCAGGCATATCGAAAAACTTTTGTTAACGTTTTTGCTTTATTTTAATTGATTTGGGTTTTCTAACATTCAATCGTCATTTACTCGAAAACTTTTCTATGTAAGATGGCAACATTTTAATACTGTTGGATCGACAATGAAACGATCTTTCAGAATCAAGGAAAAAAATATGGGGTTGCTATTTAAAAAAAATGTCGATGACGTCATTACTCGAAGCAAATGACAGTTGAAAATCGCCTTTTATGTATTTATGTAAATATGTATTTTTTAAATTAAAAACCGACCTGTTCGAGGATTTTTCCCAAAAAAAATTTGGTTCGTTTTTACTGAATTTATTCCATACTTTAGGCGCATACGGTATATATTTTTCAGGTAATTTAAAATTTCGATTTTTATGTGACTTGTTTATACTTGCAATTACAATGCAAATGTGTTGCAAATTTGTATTCTCTCTTAATTTGTCACCGCTTTATTAAATATTTAAAAAGGTATTTTTTTACCTTATTAAAATTTGAAAAATGTTTAATAACCGCTACAATAATACATATTCAAGGATACAAAGCTAGGTTAATTAACATTTTCTTATTTCCCTAGCAACTAAACGGTTTTATGGTCACTACATTAATGGAATTTTTTATTGTTTTGTACGTAGGTATGGCATTTTCGCGTGTGTCCCTTTGCAAATAAATTGACATTACCTACGTAACTCTATCTAAGAAAAAATCTACCCTTGACATTTTCATATATGAGTTTCGAGATTACTTTTAGACAATGTCTTAAAAATAAACCTAATATTACTATCAAATTCAATTTGCGTAACTTAAAAGCGAGATTTATTTAAGTGATAAAGCTGCCGTTACATTCGGAGTTGGTAATTATAATAATTTCATATTAATAGTCCTCAGGCAACAGTTTATAAAAAAAATTAAACGCAGGAAATTATCATTTATAACTGTTAATTTTTTTAATGTATACTTTTTGTAGAATATTTTAAAAAGCCAAAATATACCTGTGATATGGCTTGCGTGATGTAACAGGTAATAAAAATTTACAGAATATTGCATACAAGGGTATAT